TTTCATTAAGGAGCTTATAAGCATCCCTTTTTTTAGCAAACTCCCGAGTCTCGGCCTCAAGACGCTTGAACTCTTCCCGATTTCGGATAAAGGCCTCGTGATGAAGCACCGAGGCCTGCAAACTCAAAGGAAGATGTTAGGATTATTCACTATTAAATCTAAGTATATAATAAAAGGACATTCGAAGTTACCCAATTCAGCGCCTGTTGAGCTTCGTTGAACAGGCAAGGTGCTTCCACCTCATTCATTTTTGCTTGATCCTCTTCGATCACCAAACATCGAAGGTAACTAGCGACCCCCACCGGGGCAGAGAGAACCCAGGCGTCCTTCGAAACGGACATGAAGATTGAACGTCTCTGAGTAGAATCGACACTCGGAGCGAGGAACTGGTTTATTTATTTTGGGCTCGAGGAAGACCCGTTATCTCCCGAGGACAGTATCTTCCTTGGTACCGGTAAATCACCCAAACCGGTAACATCATCAGAAGCAGTGGAATCTAAGTTGTCGAAGAAATTATTAAAAGAATCGACTGCTCCTTGGGCCCCTTCGTCGAGGTGACCTTTCAGCGCATGGGCCTCGTTTATTATGGAATTCGTAAACGAAGGCGACCCAGAAAGGTCAATCACCCCAATCGCCTCCTTGGGGGCATTATCTTCTGACCGAGATACACCGGTTACGTTTTCTTTTTCGACCTCGCTAGATCGAGGCAAATCGGTCACTTCGGCCACTGTTTCTTCTACGGCCTCCATGGCTCGAGGCATTTCGAAGCCGCTTCTCATGTGGGCCACTAATTCAGAATTTTCTTCTTCCTCGGACTCATCCCTCAACCGATTGAGTGAGTCCGATGAAAGTTCTCGGGCGCTGGTTTTCTTAGGTTTCTGCGCAGGTCGCTTCCTAGGTCTTTTCCTTTCAGGGGCCGAGGGACTTAGAGCTTTTCCTTTCCTCTTCTCTTTGCCCTGCTTTGAAGCAGGAGGATCGACGTGTATATCATCGTCAGCTGATGGAGGCCTCATCTCGACGTCCTTTCCTAAGCCTACAAAATGAAAATATAACGGATCAGGGACTGATGATGAATAAATGAGATCAGATGTACTATTAGGGAAAAACCCTTACCATGATTACGTGCTTCCCATCGGCCCTTCGAGAGCTCACGCCACAAGCGTTCGGTATAAGGTCTCTGTGTTGAAATACCCTCGACCCACTCTTTAAGTTAGGGAACGGGGTTCGACATCTGGACAACAACTGCATCACATATCATCAATGAGAAACCAAACAGAATGAAAAGCAACAAAAGGAATACTGAAGGTAAAGTTAAACTTACATTTTATGTTCCATTTCTCAGGGAACGTCATATCTGCAATCGGTATTAAGTCCGAGGTTCTCACTCGAACAAGTCTACCTAACCAGCCCCGGTCTCGATCCTCATCGATACTCGAGAACAAGGACTTGGTGGCTCGGCGTGCAAGCTTAATTAATCCTCCTCGGTAAAGTCGAGGGCTGTACAGGCGCATGAGATGGTCGATGGTGAATGGACATCCCTCGACCTTACTCACAAAGAATCGAAGCAGAATAATGATCCTCCAAAATGAAGAATGTATCTGCCCGAGCGTCACATCATACCTTTTGCAAAATGCTATGATAATCGGGTCTAGAGGATCCAACGTGAAAGGGTAAGTGTAAATACTTAAGAAACCATCCACGTATGTGGTAATTGATTCTTCAGGGGTAGGAACCACTACGTGTTTGCCTACCCAGTTGCAATCCTCTTTAACTTTATCGAGGATGCTGTCCGAAATCGTACACATATACCTCGAGACCGGTTCACATCGACCCGGTACCATGGGCGTATTCTCAACCTTGAAGTCAGCCACAGTAGGGTACCTAGTAGGAATATATGATCTCAGAGGAGGTTCCTCAATAACAATATTAGAAGTGTTTTCAGAAGGTCTTGAAGAAGAAGGTGTTTCTTTTTGGGGAACAAACTTTGAAGTTTTTGCCATTTTTACGAAGGAAAGATATTGTTGATAAGGGGAAACTTTGAGAAAACTAGAAGATGAAGTCATTAGAACGCAAGAAGTATTTGAGCGTAAAAGTTCTAACAAATGGATTAAAGGGTATTTATAGGTTCCTCAAGCGGTGGTTCATCTCTGGAGGTAGCCGACCGTCAACTGACATACATTTAATGCCTCGAAGACCGGACTGACGGGACATTTCCACTATTCTTATCACCTACGCCATGTACCCGTCATCATGATTTATCGAAGTAAGGACCGAGGGTTCATATCGTTTTTAATCACTTACTCTCCAAAAAATGAGGGGACTATCTGTATACGGGTAGAACCGAGCTCAATGCTCGATCGAGGCATCTGAAATAATATGTCAAGGCTCGACACCTACATAAGAGATCAAATGTACCGATATAACTGAGCTCGATATCGAGGGTCAAAGTTCGAACAAGATCATCAGATTTGCCCTCGAGCTTATTGGGGGCACGACCGACCCCGCTTCTAACGGCCTCAAAGAAGAGCTTTACCCACTCACACAACAAGTATCCATGATTCTCGCCATTGACCAATCATTATTATAGAAATTACGGAATTAAGTCAAAAGGGGAGCCAACGGTCTACATAATTTCTTATAAAATTATATCTTAAAGGTTTCATCTCCTTGTATATATAGAAGGAATGGAGTAATTCATAGGACATTGTAACATACTTAAAAGAACAACATACTATCTTTTTTCAACTTTATTCATATTATTTTGGTTGCAATAATATTCTGGCATTATCTCTCCTAAATTGAAAGGAGGCTAATCCTACGAGGCTTAAGTTATTCAATCTGTATGGTTTGTATTCATTTTTCTATTTCCATATTAAATGTAATATCTCATTTTGTATCAAATTAGATCACATATCCTTGAAACCACGTATAAATTCAATTGTTATCCGATCTTTGGGGTAAACAAAAATATTTGACATTTTAGAAAAATAAGGAGCACGTGTGCGTATTAATCACATTCATTTTCTTCAACATTTATATATTTATTGGTGGAGTTTTTTCCAAAAACCCGCGTAAGATAACTCATTTAGGATATCGAAAGAAAAAATTGCAATTAGCTGATAGATAAACAAAACATTGAGTACTTGTAAACAAGTACATTTTGCAAATAAAGCTAACATCCCAATCCCAAACATTAATTTCTCATCATTAATTCTACTACTATTATAACTGCAGAATTTAGCTGCATAACAAGGTCTTTCACATGACTCATCACAACCAAACACTAACACAGCCAAAAAAAAAAAAAAAACCCCCCTCTCACATATAATTATATAAAAGTAATACTTAGTAACTTACTATCTAAGGGCATGCTCATTCATGTTATTTATGTAACATTTTTCTTTAACAGTAAGCAACACATTTCTTCTTGCAATCCATTGTACAGCCACCAGATCCACCACCATAACCATACCCTTTTCCCTTACTGCTGTATGATTTGAAACATTTTGCTGGACACCTAAGTTTTTTCCCTAAACATGGACCTTTATCCTTACACACAACAGTTGGTCTTATAATTCCACCTTTTGCATATCCACCTTTTGGGCCTCCAATTCCACCTCCATATCCTCCTCCACCAAATCCAGGTATATTAAACCCACCTCCAGGCCCAAAAATCCCCCCAAACGGCCCACCATCGTTATCGTTTCCATTCCTGGCTCCGCCTCTAACTGTTTTCTTGGTTTTTTCGACGTTTTCGGGGGTGTGTCTAGTAGCAAAGGAGAAAGTGGCTGTGATGAGCAAGAAAGCTAATAGAGTGAAGATGGTTATGGAGTTTTTTGTCTTCATTTTTTGTTTTTTGGCTAGGAGAAAGAGAGTAGAAGAATGAGTATTTATTATGGGAAAGAGGTGGAAAAGCATTGAAGAAAGGGAGATAGTTATAAGTGGATGGCAGTTGGGGATGCTTGCATGAAGACTTTATAAGAGTAGGGTGGGTGGAATTTAATACACAGCATTATATTATGGATATCGAGTATCCCTGTTTTACTGTGTGTTTTTAATGTGTGTTATGAGGTGTCAACATGTACATATATTTGTGTAGATGTAAGGGACTTGCCATCGAGTCGTGTGATAGGACAGTTAGGTTTCTTAATCCTTAACTAAAGGTTTTGAATTCGCATTTTGAAAATTAAGATTTTTTCTAATGAGAAGTGTTTTACCCCATTATGAGTTTAGTCAACCTGAATCTGAATTAATTGGATTATTTAGAGATTTGGTATGAAGTAGGGGAATATAGATGTGGAGCCATGGTAGACGATAGGGATGAGAATTGAAGAACAGAGTGGACTCTAAATTTGACACATTGGTGATGGTTGTGAATAGACCTAATAATAGTGCTCTTTCCCTACGAAAGGTAGAGAGTTAATTTCACATTACTATTAGAATAGACAAAAATAAAATATGGTTGAAATGAGTCAAAATAAAGGTTGATTAAGAAACATATATTTGTAATTCTCTATATTATAACTTTTATATATGAACTGCCCCCTTCAAATTTGTCCCCAATCTGTTATTGTTCAGATAGTTAAGCAATTCTTTTGTACTAATTTTTTAATTATTTGTTAAATTTGGAAACACGTTAGGGTACTCTATATCCCCACCACCACCCCAAAAAAAGATGGTGGTTTAGGTTGGAACTCTTTGAATTTATTGTGGCCAGAAAAGCCAACTCACATGAAATTGTCCGAATGATACTTCAGTATTCCAAACTTTATCTGATGTAACAATACTTGTCATACATTATTGATTTACTATAAAGGCAGTTTCTTAACGAAGCAAATCCCTAAAAACAATAATTTAAAAGACAGAAAACGAAAAATATATCAAAAGAGATTTGAACCTATAAGGGATAATTTATTTCCTTTATTTGGTTTAAAACTGAGATATAAAAAGAAAAACTTGATAATTAAGAGAATCCAACACCCTAACTATTACATTCCCACTTCAAAATCATTATAACAAAGTGCAGTTTTTTTTTGGAATAGAAGAGAAAGAAAAGGGAAAAAAACAAAAGAAATAGCTACATTGAGATGTCATCTTCAGCTAGTGAACAAGCTGAGGACCTTTGTTTGGAAGAAACTGCAGGTTACCATTTGGTCAGGAAATGCTCCAAAAACCCATTGGTACCATACAACAGTAATATAGGTTTTATAGGAATATAGAATGAGCCCCAAAATTAATGCATCTATACTCTTATACCTTTGGCTTTCTATCAAACTTAAAGTCAACAGTCGAAATCCTTTTCCATTCATTCCTTTGGCTTTATTATTTGTTTTTTACCACTTGCTTCCTTTTTGTACAATTTGAATTTGAATGAGAGTCGAAATCCTACAAATAACATAAAAACACGAGTTAGCTTCTAAAGTTTGTAATGTTGTACAAGTGATGAAGTATATAAACCAAAGCTAGATGTGAGGTCATGGACTAGAACTGGAAATGTGAGTCTAATTGCATATTAGAATGTCAAGTGTGATATCGACTTGTTGTAATTATTATTTTTAGGAGTAAAAGTAAATCATTTGTAAATTTCTGCGGTGACAGTTCCATTAAGAAGTTACAATCCGAACTGAAATGTTCAATTATAGTTATAAGTTACAACGATCGAAAAGGAGGAAGATGTGATTTATTTATATTTGCAACTGATGAGATATTCAGGAAAATCCACTCACATGGTTCAAAAGATAAATATAATATCTTGGAATTTCCTTCAGAGAAATCAATCTGCCTAAAAGTTGATTTTACTGTACAGAATGAATTCATGGTTCAACAATCAGTACCCAAAATTGCAGTATAATGCTATGATTTATTTATATTTGCAACTGATGAGCCTTATGCACACCATTTGACAACATTTGGGCTGAACATTTTTTAAGTAACATACAGTAGGTTAAAGGCTAGAGGAGTTCCAGCTAGCATCTACAGCCCGGATGATCTTTTCGTGTAGTTTGGCTCCAGCGCAAGCAATTATACCTCGATCAAGTCCTTCTAAGTATACGCCTTTGGAGAAGTCTAGCGGCCGCCCTCCTGCATCTGTCACCACACCGCCGGCTTCTTCAATGATAAGAACACCAGCTGCATGATCCCATATTTTCTCCTTGTAACCAGCCCTTGCAAATTTCATGAATATCTCAGCATCTCCTCGAGCTATGGCTGCATACTTCACCATGCTATATACACGTAATGGCTGGTTCCTGCAGTTGATATGCTGTCAGCAAGCTTTAAAAGACATCTGAATGCATGAACATATTACTTAAAGATGCAGAGTAATTTCCGTGAACACATTTGTAGCTGTCACGGGTAAAGAGTAACAGGAAATAGAGTACAAACGCTCAGAGAACTTGAAAGCAATCGTAAATATAGCATCTTCAAAGCTTTGTGCGCAGTGTTGTCAAAGGCTCAATTAAGGCGCGCTTAAGCCTAGAAGCTCAAGGTAGGCGCTTCGCCTTACCTAGACTGCACTTCGGTGTTGGCAAGGCACTAAGGCGTGCGCCTCATTGCCCAAAAGTTCTATCTTGCTAAGAGCGGTACTAAGCAACTAAGTTGCTCCGACACGACAGTTTAGGTGCCGCATCCGTGTCGACACGACACTAATATGGGTGTGGGTATGGGATCCATTCCCGATGTGGTCAAACAATTTTGGGTACTTTGACCACGACAGACGGAAAAACTTCGAGATGAGATACAATTTGATTTCCGAAATCAGAACCAAAACTTGGGTAAATTTGAAGAAAATAGCATACCTTGTCTAGGAAATCAATCCTTTACTTATCTATAACTTGAGAATAAAAAAGAAATTCACAATTTACAAGCTATAAGTAAGTATTCAACAAAATTTCACATAATTTAGAGATATTTTTATATTTTTAAATTATTTTTAATCGGATCCTCGCACCCGTATCCGTACTAGGATTCGTATCCCCGAATTTTAGAATTTACATCTCGAATGATCTGACCTTTAGATCCGTACCCGTGTCGGACACCCGCACCCGTGTCCGAGCAACTTAGCTAAGCAATAGATATGATTGGCAAAAGGATATATGAATTGTTAAAGAAATTATTCCGAATGAAGTTGTTACTTTTTCTTGCATTACATATAATATAATAACTTTTATTGGTGTACCTTTTTTAACTAAAGTCCATACTTTAATTACGCTTAACGCTTAATGCCTCGATAGACCTAGAATGCTTTTTAACGCTTTTCGTCTTTGACAACACTATTTGTGCGTTGTCTTTAAGTCAAGGAGATTAGCTTTGGAATACAAGAGAGAATTCTGAGAGATACTTACCTAAGTCCAACACTATGGGCCAGTCCTGCTGTGAATGAATGGCTTGAATTTGCTATCTCAACTGGTTCACAAAAGGTAGCCAATGCTGGATTATCTATGGAGGAGACTTTGATTTGCTTTGCAGAGTTTGGCCACACAAAGTTCTTTTCTCCATACAGTAATGGTTGCATCCAAGCCTTGCCGCCACCTTTCCTTGCATAAAGTACAGAACCTCTATCCCCAGATACAGATGTTTGGGAGGTCAACCTAGATAAGATTCTCCGATAACCATTTTGATAACTAAGCCATTCCTTCTTCATAGGGTAATTTGGACACCCGAGAACCCCAAGCACAGGTTCTCCATCTTCTATCAATGCCAAAGCAATGGCATATTGATCTCCACGTACAAAACCCAATGTTCCATCAACAGGATCCAGTACCCAAAACTTGCTACCTCTGGCGCCGGCCAAGTTGCACCGACTTATGGCCGCAAGAACAGATTTAGCATCAAGATCAGTACCAGGACCTTTCAGTCCAAAACGGGGTGCATCTGCTAGACACTCATTCACGGTTCTCACTACTGCTTCTAACAGGCCAACCGAGCTAGGCTTCGAAAGAACTTCCACATCTTCTTCAGCAACAATAGCTACATTCTCACTGCCAAAAGCCTCGGATAGTACCCAGCTGACAATTGCTTGGACACTCCAATCTAACAAGATCAAGATTAGCTGATCTTAGCATTTTGAGAACAAAAAGAAGATGTTGCAGTTTTCCTCAAGAAAATGGCTAATGCACCATCATCTTGGAAATGCACTCTTGAAGTGTCAAAAAGCTTATGACACAAACCAGAGCATGGCATCAGCAAATGAAGCCTAATCTTTTCAAGTTCTTAGAGCATTGGACCACAATTGCAGCTTATGCTACAAGGATTCTTAAGTCGAACTAGTGTGACATGGGTTAGGAACTTCATGCAGAGTTTCAAACTACAATAAAAATTGACATGAAGTAGACGTATCCATACTGGGTACTTCCCCACTCTTATTAGAATCGCACCTTAAATGATTTCATGCAACACAGGTTGCAGCTTGAAAGTGACAGATGCATTTTTAGATATAAAGCAATTGATGCCCAAACATTAAATTTTCTGCAGTCTGAGCCTGGGATATTTTATAATTCTGATTCTAGAATTCTCTTATCAACATATCTCGTTTGAAAATTATGTTCTTCCATTGTCAGTGTGTCTAACTTTGATAGCATAAATTCAGTCTATCATCATCAGCAGATTTTCATACTATAATTCATAAGAAGATAAATAATAACAGTAATATTGAGTTTACTACTGTCTCTCTTAAATTTTTCATAGAACAACTTATTACTTCTTTGAGTTGAAGACAACTGGACTTAATAAGCAGCTATGATTATCAAACTGTTCCTTTCACGATGGCCACATTTGGAGAACATCTGGTTGCCTCAATGTTGTCTGGTGACTTTTTGATTTATGTTAGTTTCCTTGAAACTTGGTGAAGTGACAAGAGGATGACAAAAGAAAGAAGACAATCATATGCATTTATTCATGGATTTTGATAACTAAATGATCATATATGAGTATAGCACAACATTTTTGTTGTTCCTCTTTTGGCTCTTCTTAATATCTGTCGACATACGTATTTGGATGGATCGGCCAGTCACCATAGAGCGAAAGCTCTCAATGACCTTGTAACGTGAAGTTATACCTTTCGCTCAAAGACTGCTTTATTAAAAGTCTACAAGATGTACAACATAGACTGATACATAGTACCTAGCGCACTATGTTGTCTTGAATCTTGCTACATTGCAAGCTCTAAAACCAATATACTTGAAAATTAGACCGGTTTAGTATGCTTTGGCTTCTTTGCCTTGCTTTAAATTCCAGACAACTTCTAAAGCAGTACAGAAAACCAAAAACAGTATGTTCCATTCCACCAGGAAAAAACATGATTTGGCTAGAGTCCCAAAAAAATATTGAATGCAATTCAAATATGATCCTGAGCTTAGATAAAAAACAGTCACTAAATGGATGTGTCCCTTACCATCAATTTGAGAAAATGATACCGGAAAGTCATTTCTTTTTACCATAGTACATATGTAGCAATAGTTTTCATGAAACAGACCATCAAACTGTAACCATGCCAAAGTAATCCTCAGCAATTTGCATAATTTTACCACAAATTAAACACTAAAAGATCAACGTACCCCTATGCTCTATTGATTAGTATTTTCTCCCTGGATTAAATGTACCAAAATACTGTTATCTTCTCTAAGCATTGTATCCAAAGGTTGCATCTTTTAGCCATAATTAAGATGCTAAATGCCACTACAGAAAGTTAACCCCCTTTCAAATTGAACTATTATCATACTTAAAATTCATTTTCAAGTATCTATCAAAGAATCCAAATCAACAGCACCCAAAATGATTACTTAAAAAGACGCAACCTTTTCCCTTTTCCCAAATTCATCTCTACAACTCAATTCACAAGTACAATCCTAGAATTGTCCCACGCTCATTTCAAAAAATAAAACAATAAAATAAAAACGTAACAACACAAGATAAAAGGATAAGGCATGCCTAATTACAAGTTAGCAAAAGCATAAGAATGGAAAAAGAATTACCAGCAATTGTGACGGGGGAATTATCTTCCTTAGAATGGACTTGTTCAGAGGTTTTAGAGAGCAAATTATCTTGAACTCTCTGACAAAGCAAGCAAGCCATATGTACAGCTCTTACTGCAATTTCCAGTTCTTTACAATACCCCTCTGGAATATCAGTTGAGCTAACTTCCAATTTACAATCTTCATCCATTGTAGATAGAAAATTGGTTTGACTACAACACTGAGAAAGAGAAATGGTTTGGTTAGTAAAACCAAAGCGAGAATTTTTCTTCGAAGAGAAGGAGAGAGTTCCTAGTATTTGGTTTTTGGGAAAAACATCATTAAACTTCCTAGAATGGAATAAAGTATGCGGGACTTTGATTGGAAAACTAGTAGCAGTACAAGTATAAGACATAATTGTTGGGATTTTTATAGATCAAGAAAGTAACACGCAGCCACTGTCTCATTCGCAAAGCGCAGAGCATATATGTGGTGAATTTTTTGGTTTCAATGATTAGTCTTGAATAACAATGACTTTTTTAGCGGACTCAAATTGCTTATATATATAGTCATAGACTCCTGGGCCCGAGGCGTTTGAGATCACATCAACAGCACCCCCAAAACAAAGTTTTAGAAAGACATTTATGAGAATATCTTTAGAATTAAATTTAATAATATTTCATTTTGAACAAGGAATTTAACATCTTTTATATGTCCTTTTTTGCCCCTTCCCCATCCCATTTCCCGAAAAAAATTATTTGGTGTGTGACACTAGTCATGCGGAATCTCTTTTTTGTCTCACAATTTTGTGCATCATATTCCAATTTTATACAATTGCAGGAAAGCGTATTCTTTATTGGTCACAAGTCACAACCATCATAGATTCGGCAGTAAGAACTAACAAGGTCTGCATTTGATTACGCCTGTGATTTCTTTGGGTTGTCCACTCGGTCAGTAATACTAATTTTGTTAATCGTTTGTCTTTTCTATTGTGAGTAAATGAAATACGTGTTGGGTTTAAGTTTGCGGTTATAATAGAGTGAATGGAAAATGAAATTTTGAATTTCATTTTGACAAAGGGACATTATCCCATATTGGAGGAGTAAAAGAGTTTTGATACATACAATTGCACGTCTTCTAGTCCTTAAAGAGTTAAGAAGAAGGCATATCTCGCGCCGTCGTCGCTCGGCTTGGCTTTGGCTTCGGATTTGGTCAAATGATCTAATAGAATTTAAATTTGGCGGTTTGCATAAATGACCCATTTTGAGTTGCAGCCTTACATAAATACATGATCTTTCCCTCAGATTTTCCTTACGAAAATTCTGATTTTTCCGGGTTTGAAGTACCGCTACACCAGTGAGGGTAATCTGTTCTATCATGGGAGGAAATAATTTTAAATCTCGGTTACTAGGAGGAGATTAAGTTCCTTAAGGGAACACTGTAAATTCAGTGGGCTCGGATTAATTTCTATTTTTCTACATTTCTAGTTTTTACGTTGATACTGATTTTTTAATATATTTTCGAATACAGATTACTAACAAGCTTAAGGAACTTAATCCTTTTTTGTTTTCTGTATTCATCTTATATTGTGTTTGTGGGAGACTAATTCTAGTAATTTCTACTCTCATTTTGGACTTCGAATTTTCTACTCCTTGGTTGAGATTAAAGTCCTTGGGACTTTCTACTTAATTACGAGATTAAAATCTTTGTGTTTTTTTACTCGATGTGTATTCGGTTTGAAGATATAAAATCTTCATCATGGTATTTAATTTATTTATGTTAAAGTTTATTCGGTTCGAAGATTTTAAATACTTTACCGTTAATTAATTTTGTTTATGTTTTGTGACTAACAGAAATGATAGAAGAAGGAACCCCCGTGGTTGGCTCTACGAGCAATTTTTCTACTTCCAGTCGTTTTATGCTACCCCCGGATTCGGCGAAAAAGCTCGAAAAAAATTTCGGGCTTGATTTCAAATGTTGGTAACAAAAGATGTTCTTCTATTTGAATACTTTGAGTCTACATAAGTTCATCAAGGAGGACGTTCCGGTTTTATCGGAATTAACTCTTGAAAATGAACGTTATATTGTGACTGAGGCATGGAAGCACTCAGATTTCTTATGCAAGAATTACATTCTTAGCGGACTGGAGGATGATCCTTACAATATCTATAGTAATGTGAAAATTTTGAAAGAACTATGGGATGCATTGGAAAAGAAGTATAAAATCGAGGATGCCGGTTTGAAGAAGTTTGTTGCAACTAAATTTTTGGACTATAAGATAATAGACAACAAGCATGTCATTACACAAGTTCAAGAGCTGCAAGTTATAATTCATGATCTCCTTGTTGAAGGTATAATCCGAGTTAATGCTTCTGTTAAAAGTATTAATTTTGTTACTAATTACAAATTTTTTAATTGAAGGTTTGTTTATCAATGAGGCATTTCAAGTTGCAGCAATGATTGAGAAGTTGCCTCCTTTATGGAGGGACTTTAAGAACTACTTAAAACACAGTCGTAAGGAGATGAAACTCGAAAATCTCATTGTTCGATTGAGGATCGAAGAGCACAATAAAGCTGCAGAAAAGAAGACACGTGAAAACTCAATAATTATGGGAGCAAATATTGTTGAGACTGCTCCAACTAATCCGAAAAAGAGAAAGAAGTCTTCTGGACCAAAGAACTATCCCAGCAAGAAGAAATTCAAGAGAAACTGCCACAACTGTGGAAAGCTTGGACACAAAGCTGCAGAATGTTGTGTTTCAAAGAAAGAGAAGAAAAAGGGTCAAGCAAATATGGTTGAAACAAATGATGATGTTGATGACTTGTACGCTATGTTGTCTGATAACTTAGTGGAAAATTCTAAAGAGTGGTGGATTGATTGTGGAGCCACACACCATGTTTGTGCTGTTAAAGAAACATTTGCTATATGCTCCCGCTGGACCCGACGAGACCATTTTTATGGGAAATTCTGTAATGGCCAAATTTGAAGGTTATGGAAAGATATTCCTGAATATGACCTCTAGCAAGGTGGTGACTCTGAACAACGTTTGTCATGTTCCTGAAATAAGGAAGAACTTGTATTCTATTTCACTTTTCGTCAAAAACGATTTTAAATGTGTTTTTATTTTAGACAAAGTTGTAATAAGTAAGAACGGGGTGTACTTGAAAAAGGTTACCTTACTGAGAGCCTTTTCAAACTGAATGTAATAGTTGTTAACAATAATAAAATTTCAACTTCTTCTTACTTACTTACGTCAAATGATTTATGGCATTTACGTTTAGGACATGTCAATTATAGAACCTTGCGAAAAATAATTAATTTGGAAGTATTGCCTAAGTTTGAATGCGGCAAATCAAAATTTCAAATATGTGTGGAATCTAAGTATGGTAAACAACCTTATAAGTCAGTTGAAAAGAATTCAAATCCTTTAGACTTAATTCACATAGATATTTATGACATAAAGTCAATACCATCTCACGGTAGAAAGAAATTATTTCACAATTTTTATTGACGACAGTACTCGATGTTGCTATGTTTACTTACTTAATAGTAAAGATGAAGCAATCTATGCATTCAAGCAATACAAAAATAAAGTTGAAACACAATTTAACAAGAAAATCAAAATGAAAGAAGTGATAGAGGTAGTGAATACGAATCTCCTTTTGAAGAAATATGTTTAGAATATGAAATTATTTATCAAACAACGACCCTAATACGCCCCGATCTAATGGGATTGCTAAAAGAAAGAATCAATTATTAAAGGAGATGATGAACGCTTTGTTGATAAGTTCTGGTTTGTCACAGAACTTTGGAGGGGGGTGGGGGGTGGGGGAGCATTCTTAGTGCTAACCGGACACTAAATCGAGTACCCCATAGCAAAACGCAATCCATTCTATATGAAAAATAGAAATGAAGGAAGCCCAACTTGAATTATTTTAAAATGTAGGAGTGTTTGGCAAAAGTGTAAGTTCCTAAACCCAAAAGGGTAAAGATAGGAGCGAAAATCGTTGATTGTGTTTTCCTAGGATATGCAACCAATAGTAAAGCATATTGATTTCTAGTTCATAAATCCGAAAATCCCAACATTCATAATAGTACAGTTATAGAATCAGATAATGCTGAATTCTTCGAAAATATATATCTGTATAAAAAGGAGTGTGAGTCGATTGGTGAAGGATCTAAACGACCTCGGGAAGAAACAAAAGAAAGTATGTATAATCAGGAGGATCCAAGACGTAGTAAACGTCAAAGAACGTCTACTTCATTTGGACCAGATTTTGTGACTTTCTTATTGAAAAATGAGCCTCGAACATTTAAAGAAGATATGTCTTCTTCCGAATTATTATTTTGGAAAGAGGCAATCAATAGTGAAAAAGAATCCATACTTAACAACCATACATGGGAATTGGTTGATCTTCTTCCAGGCAATAAATCGTTGGGTTCTAAATGGATTTTTTAGAGGAAAATAAAAGATGATAGTACTATTGACAAATATAAGGCAAGACTTGTGGTCAAAGGGTATAGACAACGAGAAGGTCTTGATTATTTTGATACATACTCTCCGGTTAGAAAAATTATGTCCATACGAACGTTAGTAGCATTAGCTGCGGTATATAGTCTTGAAATTCATCAAATGGACGTTAAAACGACATTCTTAAATGGAAATTTGGAAGAAGAAATTTACATGGAATAACCTGAAGGGTTTGTGGTTCCAAGTAAAGAAAAGAAGATATGTAGACTTATTAAGTCACTTTACGAACTAAAATAAGTACCTAAACAATAGCATGCGAAATTTGACCAAACAATATTGTCAAATGGTTTTAAGATAAATGAATGTGATAAGTGCATGTACATTAAAAATGTTCCAAATTACATAATCATTATTTTCTTATATATGGATGATATGCTGATAATAAGTAATGATATTGCCAACATAAATACGACTAAGCGTATGCTAACTAGCAAGTTTGATACGAAAGACTTGGGAGTTGCCGATTTAATTCTAGGTATTAAGATCCATAAGACTCCTCAAGGTCTGGCATTTTTGCAATCTCATTACATTAAAACAGTACTTGAAAAATTCAAGCACTTAGATTTTAAAGTGACAAAGACTCCAATTAACGTGAATCTTGCATCTGCAAAGAACAAAGGCCAAAGCATATCACAATTAGATTATGCTTGTGTGTTGGAATGTTTAATGTATATCGTGAATTGTACTCGACTATATATAGCTTGTGCTATAAGTAAATTGATTCGATATACGAGTAATCAAGGTCAATCTCATTGGATGGCGATGAAACGAGTTTTGGGATATATAAAATATACCCAAGACTTTACTTTGCTCTATAGTAATTATCCTGTGGTGATTGAGGGATACTGTAATGTAACTTGGATCACCGGTTCAACTGATTCTAAATCCACAAGTGAATATATATTCACTATTGGTGGAGGAGCGATATCTTGGAAGTCGTCCAAACAAACTTGTATTGCCCGCTTTACAATGGAGGCTGAGTTCATAGCCTTAGATAAAG